ATTGTTGATCTGGTGAATGCACTTACTCATGAAGATTGGCATGTCAGAGAGATTTCCTGTGTAGTTCTTGGCAATCTGGGTGAAAAGGTGGCAACGCGCGAAGTTATCGTTGGTCTGATCAGTGCACTTACTAATAAAGATCCGTTTGTCAGAGGGGTTGCGTGTAAGGCCATTGGGAACATGAATGAAAATGTAGCAACAAGCGAAATAATTGCCACTCTGATTAACGCACTTACTGATGAAACTCCAGATGTCAGACAGAAGGCGGCTGAAGCCCTTGGAAAGATGGGTGAAAAGGCGGCAACGAGCCAAGTGATCGCCGGTCTGATGAATGCACTTAAGGATAGAAACTGGTCTGTCGAAACGACTGCTCGTGAAGCTCTTCGAAATATTGGTGAGAAAGCGGTAACGAATGAAGTGACCAATTATCTGATCAATGCACTTACTGGTAAAGATCCATCTGTCAGGAAGGTTGCCTGTGAAGCCCTTGGAAGCATGGGTGAAAAAGTAGCAAGGAGTGAAGTGATTGCTGCTCTGATGAATGCACTTACTGATGAAGCTTCTAGTGTCAGAAGCGCTGCGCGTGAAGCTCTTGGAAACATGGGTGAAAAAGCAGCAACAAGCGAAGTGATTGCTGATATGATCAATGCAGTTACTGATAAAGATCCATCTATGAGAAGAGCTGCCTATAAAGCCCTTGGAAATATAGGTGAGAGAGCAGCAACGAACGAAATGATCGCTGCTCTGGTGAATGCCCTTGCTGATAGATATTTGTTGATGTCTTTCTGTGTGGGTGAAGCCCTTCGTAAGATGGGTGAAAACGCGGCACGGTACGAAGTAATAGCTGCTTTGACGAACGCACTTCGCGATGAACGTAAACGTGTCAGAAGTGGGGCGTGTGAAGTTCTTGGTAAGATAGGTGAAAACGCAGCAACAAGAGAAGTGATTGCTGGTCTGACCAATACACTTAAGGATAAAGATTCGTTTGTCAGAGGAGCTGCGTGCAGAGCCCTTGGAAACATGGGTGAAAAAGCAGCAACGAGAGAAGCGATTGCTGATCTGACCAATACACTTAAGGATAAAGATTCGTTTGTCAGAAGCGCTGCGTGTAAAACCCTTGGAAACATGGGTGAAAAAGCAGCAACGAACGAAGTAATAGTTGCACTAGCTAATGCACTTCGTGATAAAGATATAAATGTCAGTGAAGAGGCGTGCAAAGCTCTTAATAATATGGGAGAGAAGGCAGCAACAAGCGAAGTGCTCTGTGTTCTGGTGAATACACTTAAGGATAAAGATTTGTATATTAGGCAGAATGCATCTGATGCCCTTTATAAGATGGATGAAAAGGCATTTACAAGCGAAGTGATCGCTGCTCTGATGAATACACTTAAGGATGAAGATTCGGGTATTAGGCGGAGTGCCTGTCTAGACTTTTGTTACATGAGTGAAAAAGCATTAACAAGCAAAGTGATCACTGCTCTGATTGATGCACTTAAGGATGAAGATTCGCATGTTAGGAGATTGGCGTATAAAGCTCTTTGTAATATGGGTGAAAAAGAAGCAACAACCGAAGGGATCACTAGTTTAGTGAATTCAGTTGCTGATAAAGGCTTAAATGCTGCTGTTCTTGAACGAGCTCTATGTTCATATTCTGGAATCAAAGGATTAGATTCGAATACTGTATCTAAATTACACTCATGTGTCACGCGAGATAAGAAGCTTCGTCTGACTTTGGTACCTTCCGATCAGTTTATCAAGGTATTTCTGGAGACGAGAAATAATATGTGGCTTCCATTGGCGGCATATGTTTGTCTGATCCAAGGATCAGCAGTGACTTTTGTGGGAAATACTATCGTGGTTCAGCGAGACAAGAATCCTGTTTCACTACCGGTCGCTCGACATGCATTAGTTCAACGCTTGATTGGCGCATTTGTCAATCAGAGGAAAGGACTCCAACGATACGCTTTTGCAGCTGTGGGAAAGCAATCATCAGTCTGCAATATCTCGTAATCAAAGCCTTCGCTGGCCTGGCTGAATAATGCTGTACTGTTGTCGATCATGAAGAATTTCGTTTATGGAACTTTTTTCCTCTACTTTTTATTGCTTGTAAACGTTTCAGTTCTCGAATAAATAAAAAAATCTGCGTTTTCTGACAAATTTGTGAGTGCGAATGTGCCTGGTGTTGCATTGTTCCCCGTCCACACCCTCACCCTCATGTACACTTACACCTACACCCACAGGATGAGGGTGCGGGATGTCGGGGGTGGGTATAGCTGTGGTTGTGGGTATGTGTGTACCTTTGTCTATGGTCGCGGATATGGATCTAGGTGTTAGGATCCTGTGGGAGCAGCTTTTTTGAGTTCCCTCTCCCGCAAGAAAAATCTTTGTTTCCGCAATGATCCGTTGGTTAGTGAACGATGATTCAGTATTCATTTCTAAAAGTCTTACAATTTAACACAGCTAAGCGGCCAATAATATTTGATATTCAAGAGCATGTCATCAAAGCTGAAGCAGTTTGAGCTTTGACAGTTGCTCAACGTGATTATAACTTCAATTCGTGTGGTGATATTGGAAGTGTTTTTCGTCATATGTTTCCCGATTTGAAAAATGCACAAGAATTCAGCATGTAATTCAAAAACTATTTCATGTTTTATCTCATGGTCTTGATCCCTATTCCCACAAGAACTTGTTAAATCATTGGAACACACTGAAAAATTTGTCTTCCGTTTCGACCAATAAACTGGCAATCAACATTGTAAATAATTAGTTTTATTAGTAAAATACTAATATTACGATAAAGGATGAGTTGTCACTCGATATTACAAGTCTATTTTATTAGGACATGTAACTAGTGGCGGAGCCAGGGTGGGGCTGGGGGGGCTCAGCCCCTCCCAGGAAAATTTTTAAACCATGTATTTTATTTGCTAACCGGGGCTCAAAGGTCCCTCAGAGGGGGTTGAGCCCCTCCCAGCTCAAAATCCTGGCTCCGCCACTACATGTAACAGCAGCTGTTCTCAAAAGTGTTATAACGGATTCATATTTTAATTCCATAGTTTCAAAAATGTTAGATACTGCAGTAGTATTGAGAAAAATACAGTTTATATTGTATGAACAGAAATTAAGTTGTTTTTTGGGGGATATTTATTTAATTGGGTTTTGCTAGTATTTATGTATTTACATGATATGTATAGAACAGTAGAAAATATACAGAAAAACACTTCTATAATTCTTTTCCAACACTTGAGGATGCTTTTGATTTAGCTCATCATCATATACACGAACAAAAGTCTCTCATCTGCAAAGCTGTTACAGCTTTTTACAAGTGTAAAAAAGTATAAAAATCGAAACTAGCGTCCTATATATATCCGATATATTCCTGTATTTTCACAGAATGATGCTACGAAGCGAGTTTTTACTGCATCTTTCATTGAAGTCATTGATACTCTGGTTCGATATTGTGACAAATGATCACAAAGAACTTTTTCGAACGATTTCCATTTGAAACCTTTCTAATTAATTGAAAGATGTAAATATTTTAGTAAAAGTAACTGAATAAATCATACTAATGGATGATATATCACGTTCTACATTATCTAACCATCAGTACACGGGCACAGGTCTGTTATCAATCGTTTCTCAACGTATGATTTCAATCAGAACAGTCATATGCGTAAAAAAGTAGCTATGGTCTATTTATGTAGATGTTGAATTGAATCTCAATATTAACAATTCTACACTAAAGAAAACGTACTTGAAGTTACTGATGTTGTTGTAGACATTGTGGTTACTGTAGTTGCTGCCATTAAAACAAAAAGTTTTCAGTTCAATCCTTATGGTATTATAATCTATACGACGATCGATACGTTTTTATTTGATATGAAAACCTTCTAGGAAAATATTTTTAGTTGAGAAATGCTGTTCCTAGAATTTTGTAAAAGTAGTAGCAATCAACAGATTATTATATTTGTATCAGCTTATATAATAAAGAACAGGAAAAAGATGTTTTTGATTTAAGGATTTCTTTCAAAACTAGTTTTAGCTCTTGCGTAGCATATGTAAATCCAAAATATTACGTTCTAAAGAATTACCTATAGAAGTTTGCTAGGGCCAACCGATCTCATACACCTTCAAAGATAGTGCTAAAAATATTTTTTAGTTGTAAAATGAGATGATGGAAAAATTTCATTTAGACAGTTTTGTGAAGCAAATCAAGGTCTATCGACTGGTATACGACCTGATTTAAACAGTGAAGAATTTATGACTAAAGAGTTCAAAAATGTTTATAGATCTATTTCTCGCACTTTATAGTACTATGTTTTGATTGTGCATGCGGTCGGTTGGCCCTAGCGAACCACTATAAGTAATTATTCGCTTAAAGTTGGAGTGTGAAAGTTGAAAACTAATAGAAAATTAAAATATAATTAAAATTAGATTAGCAGCACGCAAAGTTCATTCAAGTCGATGGTAAAATATTTATGTTTCTTCGTTCAAAAATAATTTAATATGATGTCAAAACGTATTCTTTGATTATAGCATTGTTCCGCAGAATAGTTCCTGAGCAGAAAAAAAGTCTTCGATTTTTTCTTTAAAATCACGTTGTGCAATGTATCATTCAGTGTAGTTTAATGAATTACTTTTATCGATTAAATATTGTTCTAAAATTAGCAGAACTGGAAAACTAACTATGCATTCAAGGAATATTTGTGGTGCAAAAGAAATAGAGATCATGTATAGAAGAACATTTTGGTTAAGTCGAGAGTTAGACTTTGTCATTTTACACGACTACTCCATACAATCGGCATTATAGAAAAGGATACTATTTCTTTCGTTTTCATAAGATAAACGTGCAAATTAAAAAAAATAATTTCTTTGTTTACCATTGTATAGAATGGGTGGGAGTGATTGAAGAAGAATAACTCATACCCACACCCAACTTTGGATTATTTTGTCATTTATTTTCCTTATGAATTATAGTGATTATATTTAGAAAAAAAAAATGTTTATATTTTCTTTCTTAAACTTTCAATGTCTTTTTGATATTTTTGAAGGTCAGGATGATTTGGAGGTAACGAACTTTGTCCAATATGCAGAGCACGTTCACAGAATAAAAGTGCTTTCGAATAGTCAGCCATATTGGTATATACCCGACTGAGATTGTTATAAGTAATAGCTAACTCAGGATGATTCGGAGGAAAACATTTTTGTTTGATAGCAAGTGCTTTTTCTTGAAACGAAAGAGCTTTTGAATACTCGCCCATCTTATCATACACCAAGCCGATATTGTTGTAAGAATTAGCCAAAGCAGGATGATTTGGCGGAAGGATTTTTTGTTTGATTTCGAGCGCTTTTTCACCGAATGAAAGAGCTTTTGAATACTCGCTCATTTTCTCATATACCAAACCGATATTGTTGTAAGTGACAGCCAAATTGTAATCATCTGGAGGAAGGGTTTTTTGTTTGATTTCAAGTGCTTTTTCATTGAATCTAATCGATTCTGCATATTCTCCTTTGTAATCCTGAACTCGTCCAAGTTGATGATAAATATTCGCCTTTTCCCAATCATCATGTGTCTGCTTCAATAGCATTTCGTATACTTGATAAGCATTATCAAATTGACCCATTGTAATCAATAATGCACCTAATCGATACCATCCACTTTCAGTTGGAAATGTTTCATTACGTAAGCATTCTGTTAAAGTTTGCAGCTCTGGATCAGTATCACTAGTCAGTGACAGATCCACCTGCCAGAGACGGTTATCCTTGTTGATTGGTTTGATTTCTCGAATTCGAAATACGGAATGCATAGAGAAAATAATTTCTTCTTCTTCTTGAAAGAAACTGACGGTACTGATGTTGGCGAAAGGTGTTGAAGAAATGGATGGATCAATTGTCATTACAAACAAGACACCAACGTAATTGGGATTTGTCATAGCCGATTCAGTAAACATAAGAGAAATCTCACGATTTTTCTGGGTCGATAAAAAGTTATTAAACGATAATAAACCACCTTTTCTTTCTACTAAGTGGTCAAAATCTATCTGAGACAGACCTTGACCCCGATAAACCGTGAATGTTGATGAGTGTATATGTCCACCATATTGTTCAGCGTGAAGTCGAGTAATCTGTCTATGAAGATCACATAGGAAGAAACCCATTTTCATTATAACAGTAACATCCACAGTGCGTAAGGCGCGATTGAGCATCAGATAAAGAAAAAATGGGGACGTATACCACCATATAGGCGTCCGATCACGATATTCATGTTCAAATTGGTCGATCCTTTTTAATTCTGTCGGATTATCAGCGAATTGTTCTCGGCAGAAAGTAGTAAATTCTTGAATATGTCGTTGTTCGAAATCGATTGTTAAAAGGATTTCCTTCAGTATCTGAGTATACATAAAAGATGGATCGAGTTGATCCAGATTTTTAATTGTTGTATCAGCACTTGTATCAACTAAGCTGATCGGAATACTGTTTTGATCACCTTCTTGTACAGCTTGTTTCAATGCTTCACAGATCGGCTTGATGTTTGTATCGATAACTTTGATTTTCGACCATTGTTTAGCCCATTGCATATGTCGAGATTTATCTCCACAAAATATGTGGATGGCACTGATCTGTGGCATATCATGAATTTTAGGAACTATTGTTTGCCCAAATGCGCCGGACGAGATTAAGAACATCTGTCCTTCGTCAATGTTACTGATAAAATTAATGCATTCATCAGCATTGATAAATGTGTGTACATTGTTAATAACTTCTCGTAGTTTTGAAATTGTATCAGTCGAATCCTTGTTGTTCTTTTCGTCAATATTAGCATCGAGCCAAATCACTAGAAAGCTTTGAGCTCGATTAGTATCCAGTTGTTGTTGTGATTTTACGTTTGCGTTTTCCGTCAACATCACAGCTGCGACAGTTGTTGTTGACTTATTCATTTTATTCGCTGTGTGTATTAGTTACAGAATGAAAGACATCATGGAAAGAAAGTGAAAAAAATCTCGTCAATTTATATGATTTTTATCTTCTTCCTAGAGTTTTCTTTTTGTTGTAGTGTTTGTTATTGTCGTTCGCTAGTTTTACTTCCTATCTGAATGCATCCAGCCTGCTCTATTGCCTTGTTATGATGCAAAGAAAAAACGCCAAAAAAAAAACCGATAATAAATACATTTACAACGAAAGAACGAGAAAAAAGCGCATCTAGTTTTGTATTTTTCTTGTGAGTAAACACTTGAATTGCGCCAGCAAGGTGTAACACATGGCTTTTTTTTTCTTTCTTCAATCATTCATACATGATGGTGCGTGTGCATGTTCTAATGTGACGGTTATGAAAAAATGCATTATGCTGATATTCGAAAATACGTCAATAACTGGGCAAGAAATAAAACAAAGTACAGAAAGTTATTATCATGTGCGCAGTGATATTATAGATACATTATAAAGAAGATCAGAATTAATATTCAATCTTTTTTGTTTTACATCATACTGCTATATATACATATATCTCAAGTGACTTTAGAGGTCTGCAAAGTGGTCACGAGTCACGGTCACGCGTGACCGTGACCAAAAATCGTGGTCATGCTAAATATTATTATGGAAGAAAAAGAACAAGATTTATACGAAAGTAACAATAATCGTCAGTTTGCTTGTATAATAGAAATAGTTTAATCTTGAGTTTTGTTAATTTTCTTTATCGTTGATGTTGTTCTTAAAGATAATGGATGCCGACATGAATGATACTCATATCGATTTTAACAAATGATTTAATTTTTTTTTAGTCATTTTAAAGCGAATCCATTCGTATCATACCACTTTTGGAGAAGAGTCGTTTTTTATCGAATTTTTTTCTACTTATTCGATGGGAAATGGGCAACAAATAGCTGTGACCGAAAAAGCGTGACTTTTACCTAAGATAATAAAGATTCAAATCATTTTCCATGTTTTTCGTTGATGTAAACATAAGTAGATGAATGAAAACCCAAAAAATAAAACATAAAGCATTCTCCTCGAATGAAAAATGGTTTCATTCAATACTTGATACAAATATGCCTTCTATAGATGTCTTAGATCATTCTCACGACTATAAGAATTTACTTAAAACGAAGAGTATTCGTTAAACTAGGTGTTACAGCAAAAATAAATATCTTTCGGAAGACTTTCACAATTTCAGTAAATTTTATATCAAGATCATGGATAAATCAAATGACAAATATACAAAATGATAGGGTAAATCAATGCTTTATTCAATTATATATAGTTATCAGTTTCTCAAGTTTAGTAGGAATATAATAAAATGAAGAGAACTCATAAAAATACATGAAGCATGTTGTACACGTTCGTAACGATGCAATCCATTTATTTATCTTGTATTACGGATACATGACGCCCTATGTAAAGAAAATGACAAAAAATTTGATCTGAATTGTTTATAATGACACGATTTTAATCTTGATAAATTGAAAAGTGCATTTTTTCTGGTTTATCCTGACAATTATAGATTTTTATTGATTTTTGGATTCTAGCATTGATAAATGATAAATAGAATACTAGACTAATCTCAAACACATAGATCATATTTCGTGAGAAGATACTAATCGGTACTTATTTATGCTTTGACTATCATGATCAAAATTAATTAAAACACAAATAATCAATTATAATGGATTAAAAACGATTAAAAGCTGATTAAAAAATCTAAATGCAGATCAAAATTTGGCTAAAACGATGCCATTATAATCGATTTAAAAAAACGATTATAATCAAACTTTTGCCTCTTTTATACAAGGAACTATGTCATTTTAAGTTGGTACTCGGTTGTTTACAACAACACTTACTTCGTTATCAGCACCTTCAGAGAGAGAAGTTGAATGACTCAATATTTATCTTGGAAAAAAGGAACGAGTGAAAATAATAATGGGTAGACCATAAAGAATGGCAGTTTCTGTTTTTTGTCTTTATTTTGGTCATCTTTCGTCATTCAGATGTACACTTTTCCCCAAAAAAAGGGTGTGGGTGTGGGTGTGTGTTATTCTCTTCTGCTAATATCCACACCCACACCCTCAATTTTATATACCAATTTATTATTTCAGACAGAGATGGAACCGGTATCAATAACCGGCCAGTCCGGTCCAGTACTGATCTAGATTTTGATCGACCGGTCGAAACCGGTCGAAACTGATCTGACAGGTCGAAACCGCCTTATATCGGTCTATTTTTTTCACTTTCCTGCTCTATGATGGTAATCATATGAAAATACAACTGGTACAAAGACTAGTTCCACTGATCACATAAGAATTTATTTAAGAAACAGTTTTCAGAATGCCCATAAGTGAGACTATTGTTATCAACGGTGAAACATAATGCTAGTGTGCATGAAAGTACGAAAGTAGCCCGCAAGAGAGTTCACTGTGAAACAAGATTTCATTTCAAGCCTCAACCTGTTGTGTGTAGATCGATATTTTGTCGGTAGGTCAGATTTTCTCTTATAAACTGACGAATCATCAGCATCCTGCTTAATACCGGTAGACCGATTCCATTTCTGATTTCAGGTGATGCTAGTTTATCTAGTGCGTCTTCATTTACTTTTGTCTTATATATTGAAATTACTTTTTCTTATACAATGTGAATAAAACTATTTTGAGTGTTATAAAATAGTTATGGACAATTGGATTGAAGACGAAAGTGACAACGATGATCTTTACGACTAAGAAAGCGTTTGAGAGTCGGAAAATGCTGAAAGTGAAATATCAGAAGATGATGATAAAATTAATTTATAAGACATAATCGATACTCGTAATATATCTTCAAATCTCTTGTACAGCAAACCAAATATAAGTTGTCCGAACAACGATTTCATAGTGTCTTTATAATACCACACAAAGAAGGAATTTTGAAAAACATGTTGTCGCAAAGAATCGTTCACAGATACATTGGAATGGAATGCGTTGTATGGTATGGTATTTCCACATTGAAATTTTCGATGAAATGGTTTTTCCATGCGGAAAACGTAATGATACCGTTGGATAGAGCTCGTCAAGTTGTACGTGAAGCAGAATTGGAACATTTTCCTAGGCGAATCCACGGTGAAATTACTCGAACTTTGTCCTAACTTCATCTACGTTAATAAAGGACTCATTACATTTGATGCATTGTTCCAATGACCCGTTTTCATGTGCAAACTGATCACCTGGCTGTCCTCATACATTATCTCGAACTATCTCCAAAATATCAATCTCATCTACAATTATTCATGTATCCTTTTGGCAAGTTTAGCTGCATGCAAAGTATAGCTGACTAGTATTCGCAAAGGGAAAAGGCTCATTCGGAGCCATGCCAGCGCCTTGGGATGTCCGAATGAAATCCCCCCTTTCTCCTTGGATAAAATACACACTCCAGAAAGAGAGAACAAAGCGAGGGATATTTAATATGTTGTATATTTTATTATTAAATATTTAATTGGTATTTGTATAAATGAAGTAATTATGAATTTTTATTAGTGACAAATTTATCAAAAGGAAATGCATTTAATAATGGTTTTAGATTAATATTTGGTAATTTTTCTCCTCCCATATTAATAGCTTGATCAATTGTAGTTGCATATCGAAGAGTTCTATTGGTACTTTCATAATAATCATAAAATTTAAATAAACTAAAGTGCGGTGATTTCAATAGTCTGGCAGATATTCCAAAAGCTTCTGATACAATTATTCCATGTAATGATGATGATATCACTAATTTACTTTGAACAATTAAACTTAACAATTCATTCCAGGGTACAAATGCATTAGCTGTTACTATTCCATTTAATCCAAATTGTATACTCTTATTTTTAACATCTGCATGATGTAATATGATAAGTATTGGAATAGTTGGTTTTGACAATTTTTTATATGATGTTAAATAATAAGGTAATAATAATGCTGGATCACCATAAACTTCTGGTACATTTAGATTAAATTTTGATATAAGGATATTTCTTGTCCGCGGACCACGAACTGCTCTTATATCAAGTGTATGCTTTAATGTCGAATTTAAACGAGGATGAAAATGAGAAGGATCTAAAATACCAGAACCCCATATAACATCATTTCGACATGCGAAATTAAATATACTACCAATGGCTAATAATTTCGGCTTTTTACACAATGAATATGGTTTATCACTCGTGATTACCGATAGATTCGAATCAACAATTAATTTTATAAGAATGTCAGATAATTTATCACCGAAATTATCAACACCCGTAGCATGTCTCCAATAAAATAATGGAAAATCTTTATTCATCTTAACCATTTTAATACGTAATGAATCATTGACATTTGTATAATTATGCACTGGTGGAAATATTATTACTATACTAAATATTAAAATTAAACTTGAAATAATAATATATAATTTTGTACGGGATATAGATAATAAAGCTATTATATTTATTTTATATAATATTATTCCAATAAGAATAATTATATTTCCAATAATCATCATTAAACTTATTTGAGTATCAAAATAAATAATTGAGGCGAAAATAATTGTCGGTCGTTTCAACATCGTTAATAAACTATGTGAAACTAGTGATACTCTGCTACATACTATTATTGATGTACTATTATAAATAAAACTACATAAACCTATGAAACATAATATCGTCATATATTTTTTTACTGATAAATACGGAAAATCATTTATAAATAATAATAGAAATGATAATAAAGTGCTGATTCCGTATAAAATTATTTGTGTAAATATAATATCGTCATTTTCTACAGTGATATGTTGAATACAAATATTTCGAATAACCATAAATAGATTAGTTAATATACCAAGAAAAATGATTATACCCAATAAATAACATTGACCACTGCGCCATGTTGCTAATAAAGCACCTAATACCATTAAAATAGTACCAATCCATCGTTCAATATTATCGATTTTTGAATCTTTATCGCTTTCGTTAGTTTTATTCGGCATTGGAAATAAATATACTAGCATACCAGCTAATAATGGTTCTAAAGAACGAATTGTGTGAACACAAGGAATATTTGATAATGTCAACATGAAATTCATAGTCAATATTTCTATACAATGTAATAATCCAGCACAAATAAAAAGTTTTTGAATTTTTCTTGCATATTTCATCTTGATTAGATGTTGAATAAACGATTGATTTATTGATAAATTGTTCTTTTCTCGATTGGATAATATTAATATGATATATAATATAGTTATTCCGAGCCAACATGAAAAATTTTGAATAAATACTGATAAACACACTATCGAATAAGTGTTTACATTATTATCATTTGATTTAATGGAATAAAAAAATTTTTGAAGAAATATTGAAAATTCAGTTGAAGATATATACCATATCGTAACGAATATAAATGTATAATACTGAAAACATTTCATTATATTTATACGATCTACAAGAGAAAAACAATTAACACTTTTTTAAATTTGTTTTCGTGCTACTAAATCTATATTTAGATTAATTTACAATTTTACAGAAAATTTCTTTCTCACTGATCTTCAAGAACTAGTTCGATTACGTCACACATTTTCTTTTATAACTATGCAATAAGGAAATAAAAATAGTAGAACAAGAAAAAAATCGAAGAATTTCAATGGCTCTCATGGACAAAGAAAAGCAATGACTTAGATATGTATGAAATGATGAAATCGATAGATACATAAATACCAAGTTTTGTATCAGTAAAGTAAATTTTATTTCAAGAATACAATTTCAGTAGACATTTAGTTTTGATTATCAGTCGATGGTGAAAATAAATCTGGAATAGTCAAACATATGTTTTTATGTACAAAATTTGATGATCTCTTTAACGCATAGAAAATGACGGCTTAAAAGTTCAAATTTGAACTTATTGGGAATTTTGGTGGTAGAATCATTATTTTCTTTCAAATTGGTAACTTTCATGCTCGTATTCATTTGATTAGGAGGGCAAAAGTACTAATAGTGAATGTCAATAAATGTATTCCAATCGTTGAGGATCGATTTAATTGAATATTCTGTCGACTTTTGCACTGCTTTCAAAATGATTAGAAGACATTCGAAGAGTAATTTTTACACTTTTGGCCGAAGTGACCTCAGATAAAATTTTCAACAAGAAATTAGTTTACTCATACAAAGCTTGATATTGTTAGAAAAATCACTCGAACAAATTATTTTAAAACTGAATCATGGAAAATATTACCCAGGCTAACTTGCTATGTCCAAGTGGTTTTTATCCAAAAATAATTCGGGTGAAGAAATGGCTTATATGTAATTGCATACGCAAAACAAAATCTTGCGTTGATGGCAAGCATATATTTCACTACACTATAATAAACAACTATTAATGTATTACAGCCGAGTGTTTTATTCAATAGTATAATGATCAAGGAGAAAAGAAAATTTCTGATCAACTGATCGATGGGGTTATTATCGGATGAGAAAAAAACGAGTAATGATGCGTATTGAACTGAAAGATTTACATCGGTAACGAAAAGTTTCTAATGGTTAGAACTATAGAATAGCCAATCATTAACTACATATAATTTCTATCATTTTATTTTTGTTTATTTGAATTCGATCTAGAGATATTTGAATGACAAATCAGACCTGGTGCTTTATTTATTACTAGGCATTTTTTCGTTCCTTTTTAGTGCATTACAACTGTTTTAGGGAAAATGTGCATATTTATTTTCGTGTCATATAAAATGAAAGAAAGAAAACGGGATACATAATATAATAGTGTTGTATTTAACTAAAAAAAAATAAATCGCACGATGTATTATCATATCTTACGATGAGTCATAGATATGATAGACCAGTAGCGCTCATTCTATGCATTCTCTGATCCTTTTCTGAAAGATGCGTAGATATTGCTGATACTTGAAAAAACAGTTGATGCATTCCTTCTTGCCGTCATTATTTCATCGTCAATATTCCCGATCATCGCACATAGAACCCACATCTCTGGATCCTATAATTGCAGCGTGAGCAGAACTTCATATCATAATTCAAATTCCATCGATTTTTTTCTTCAAAATTCATATTCTCTTCAAACTACTCATTCATCGATAGATTTGGCACAGTTTAAAATAGTTCTACATTTTCTAGAGACCGTCGCTGAAACTGAAGCTGAAAGCAAACCGTCTAAGAAAATCTACAGACTAGTGTCCATTTCAAAATAGAAGAAGGGTGGTTGTTTTTTGAATAACCTTTTAATGGAAATAGGTATTGGTCTGCGGTTTTCACCATTTGATAGAGGCGGGCATTCTGCATCTTTCTATAGATGATTCAAAATATCATCTTATGATTCTGATGAGCGGTCAATAAAATTCAAAGCAGTATCTAAAGTGCTATAAAAGTTGTATGGAATTTCAATTGTAAGGAGTGCATTAGATTCGCCTGCTCAAGATCTAGAATTCTACACAAACCCGAAATTGTTATTTTGTTTTGTTCAAAAATGATACACCTCACATTGATGATCAAAAACGCTCGGAACACCGTTTTTTCGCTAGTTTTTTAAGTTTTTATAATGCGATATCTATAGATTTTTGATCATTCTGAATCGAACGAAACTGTTTGTATTGTAATAAAGTCAGTCTTTGTCATGTAAAACCAGTGCTGATTATTTTACATCATAGATTGAATATCCTCGTCACAAACTAGAATGATACTAGGTCTGACCAAAAGTTCGTAGAATGATGTATAAAGAACCTTATTGGATAAGGTAATCTATTCAGAAAGGAAAAACCAAATATACCATTTTGTAGAACTTTTTGTGGTGCATCGAATGGTATATAGTAAATTCTGTTTTCATAAGACCTTGAAGAAACTAGAGTCAATTTACTGATAGACGACTACACATCAACAACCATACCCACACCTAAGCATGAAAGGTTACTAAATATTGTGGTCCTTGATATTAGTCGCAAGTATTTGCAAAATATATTTTCTCACATACGATTTTGTAGAGTTTTTGACAGGCTACAATCTCATATATGTAGCATCTACGATCGTTTTGTCGGTATGGAGTATGGACGGGTGTGAGTATGAGATCTTTCTGTTCAGACTATCTAAAACTAAGAATGATCACGAGAAAGGATATGATCAAATATCGAAAGATTATGATACATATATTGAGTAATGATCGATTTTTGATTGACATTCGTCTGATTTTCTATAGTGATGTCGGGTTGCATCTGGTGTAACACAAACGTCAGACTGAATTTTGATAGTCAAAGTATCGCTTACTTGTTCAAAGTTATGTCTGAGTGATTTTCTAGTAATGTTAAATAAAATTCTACTCCTCACTGTTGGTATCAAATCTTTGATCATGCTCTGATCAAATTCATCACTCAATAGAATTAATCCATCTATATCATTTTCTAGATACGAACAAATCGATCATTTCTTTTTCAGTAGAAATCATCTAGACACACCAACCTTGAAATGTAGGTATAAATTTTTCGAAATTGCATTGACGAAGCCATAGAGCACCATCATCTCGTGTCCATTCCATTGGATTGTCCGATCGAGATTCTGCAATCAATAGTCTTTGATCGATATTGATATATTGTGTATCGTTGTTTCTTGACATACTATTGTCCTCAACATGTAAGTTGTCTGAGATAATTCTAAGAGAAAGAAAAGGATCAGAATCAGTTCAATTATATTAGAAGAGTCCTGTGTAATCAAGGATCACTACCATGGCTATTAATCAAGACAACATTGGTATGTAAAAAAAGTAAGAAACAATAGAACAAATATTGGATATGTATTGAAATGGCCCATCAATGAGCTCTCTTTTAAAATGTTGCTCACTTTAAAAAAAAAATCTTCATACTATGTTTCATATGCTTCAGCAATATTTTTTTCTTAGCAACGGATTTTTAAATATTCATAATTTGGTTGAAATATATCATATCTATCAGTATTAATGTTTATGAGAAATAGTTATACTATACCTGTCTGTTATTTCCATGCTCTTCGATAATTGTTAAAACTGTAACGAGAATGAAATATAATAGGTTTTTTTTTGCCGCTGAGAAAATGAATTTGATAGACAAATACAAATATATTATGAAACCTACTCTATTTATGCGCTCGTTCTACATCAGAGATACGAACTATTGCATCCAATTTCTTAGTTGCAAAAGTGTGTACATTTTTTTTGTCACAATAATTGCTTTTCTTTTTTGATGAAGCATAAGAAATTGGAATAAAGTAAATAGTAATTAAATGGTTTTTTTCTCTTTGCTCAACATTGCAACAATTGCGCCTGTAAAACTGAGTGCAGAACAAGTGAAAACGATTTGTACCACATGAAAAAAAATACATTTCATCCGTTTCTTATAAGCTGTGTGCATTGTTCTGCTGCCACTTAGTGCAGCTATTACAGGTTGATTACGTTATTTTTAATAGTTTTGTATAGTTTGCTGTATTTATGTAAAACGTCGAAAGTTTCTTATTTTAATACAGTTGGATAGAGCATCGACTGCTCTACCGAACCATATAGTTTACACTTAATTTCCTTTTGTTCTAGTC